CATCCCAGTGCTGGGCATGATGTCCCCTTCAAAATAAAGGGCACGAGGTCATATACCACCACGCCAAATGTGAGTTGGCGGACTTTATATGTCTTTCGAAAACTTGCGATGTTTTCTCAGGCATTCAGGTTTCCTCATGATGTTTTCCTTCATCTTAAGGCATTTTTTTTTCTTCTTTACCCATTTATGTAATTTCTCACTCACATATATTATTATTAAATTGACATCCGAAAAATTGACTTTCATAATATGTTTGTCATCCATTTGAACTTTCTGTGTAGTAAAATTAGTATATATAAATGTGTGTGTGTATATATATATATATATATATATATATATATATATATATATATATATATATATATATATATGTATACAAGCATTGCTCGTTTAAAGGTATTAGATTAAAGGTATTACATTAGATTAATTTTTTTTGGTCTCAGCGTTGAATCAAACACGACAAATCTCTGAAAATGTACTTAATATAGTAATAATTTGATTATTATCAAAAAAAATCATTTTTACTTATAAAATGTCTAAAACTAAATAAAATGTTACTTCACACTTAATTTATACACAAGATCCGACCAACTCAATATTCTTGTACAAACACGGTGTAATAGAAAACATCTTGCTACCGGCCGGAAGATGAGAGCAAACAGTCTGCCGGATGTGAGCTTAGGAAGGGTCTACGATATTTTTTAACTTGTTTTCTATACCATTTTCCTGTCTTAAAATTAAAATTAATTTTAAATTTTAATTATTCAGCTGAAATTGGTCCTAGAATAGAACCAATAAGTAAGTAGTTAAGAGTCTTTGGCCTTTGAAAAAAAATCTTGCAGCACTGATTTTGATAAAAGATACATACTTATTTCGAAACTAGCGACGTGTACGTTTTAACGCTTACTATAGATTTCTCAGAAATGAGATATTTTCCTACAGTAAATAGTATCCTATATATGACCCGGATAACCAGCTATCATCATACCAAAATTCATCAAAATTTGTCCGGTGGTTTTCTCGTTATGCCTTAGATGGACAGACGATAGACGGACAGACAAACAAAAATTCTAAAAACTATAGATTCGGCCTCTGTATCGATAATAATGACTATTTCAATAAGATTTTCCAAAAAATATTTAATGTACAGATTCGACTCAGAATTTCATTATAGCTATGTATAGACAAGCAGTGATGTGACCAATAGATAGCTTAAACTAGTTCTTTTTTATTTTATAACCTCTTTCCACTTAGAAGAAATCCCTTTTCTCTAATTATCAAAAATCCTTAATGCTAAACTTTTTTAAAAGGTTACCTAGGTATGTGTAATTTTATGTTTCCTAACCTGCAAATAAATAAATGTGCTTATTATTTTTCTTTATTATTACAAAAGTGAAATATTTAATACAGACACGAAAACACTTTTTCACTAGGAAAAATTTGTAATATAAAAAAATTCTCTTTAGAAGGGTTAATAAACATTTTATTATTTAAAAATTTCAAATCAGATATAAACTTATAATAAAAAGTACACTAAACCGTTCGCTAGCTTATTATCTTTACAGTAAAAAAAACAAACAAAAATCAACTAAAAACATCTAAGATGTCATAAAATAAAAATATCATATCCTTTTTATACGTAAATATATGTAAATACACACATATTAATTCAAATACAATTAATTTACATGACGCTTTAACTGAATTTTCTAGGAAAAATATTACAAAATCTATATATATAAAAGAAAGTCGTGTTAGTTACTTCGCTTATAACTCAAGAACGGCTGAACCGATTTAGCTGAAAATTGGCAGGGAGGTAGTTTAGAGCCAGGAGAAGGACATAGGATACTTTTTATCCCGTTCGACCGCGTTCAGATTTTTATGATATTTTAATTTTTGGATTTCTCTTAGTCCGGAATAGGTAAGTATTAAAACATATAATTAAAATGTGAGAAAGAAAGATTTTTTCTTTTTATATCTATTTAAAACGTACCTAGCGACGAACCCGAGCGAAGCGAGGGTGAGCCGCTAGTTAATAATAAAGCTTAATGGGCTTTTGCTTAAGCCCATACAATTTCTGCAGGAATCTAGTAATCATGCGGTGCGGTTAATGAAAGGCATTTAAAATAGACACTGCGAGTGTTTGTACGTAAGTACACACTAACAGTTCTTGACGAGCCTGTGGTTACATTAAAGTACTCTAGTTAAGGTAAGTGAAGTGAATACTACAGTGATTTTTACTAATGTCTGTCTGTTCTTTACTTATTTTAGTTAAAAAATTAGTCGTGAACCTTTTAATCCATAAAACAAAGAGTTCCTATTAATTTATATCTAACTAGCGACTCACCCAAATCTATCCCACAGGACGACAAAAACAAATCTATCCCACGGGAGCCGTACATTTTTCCAGGATAAAGAGTAACCTATGTGCTTTTCCAGACTATAATCTATCTCTGTGCCAAATTTCATTCAGATCCGTTCAGTTTTTCTGGCGTGAAAGAGGAACAATTATCCATTCACCCATCCTCACAAACTTTCACGTTTTTAATATTGGTATGGATAAATCTGTTCAAATTCTATTATATATTAAAAAAAAAATCAGATAAGAATATATACATAAAAAAGTCAAAAGCTGTGTTCCTAGTTTTAATTTAGTCCCCAAGAAAAGGAATTTTCAAAAACGTTTCAATATGTGCATACAAACTCTGTCCACGCTACTTTTTTATTTATTAATTTCCTATCGGAAACCCTCTTTTTACTTCTGGCTTTTTGATACTACAAATCTATAAAGCCATAGTATTAAAAATATATATTTTAAAATAGCTCAAGTTCTCAAATATAGTAAAATCTTAATATTAAGAAATAAAGCGTTAGTGTAAGCTTTAATGTGTACAAATAGGTTTGATGTACGCTACATTAATGGAAATAACAACCGCTGTAAGTTTGCTGATAAGTTTACGTAGAACATCGTTTCTCCATCCCGGTTAACTCAACAAAATTTTTGGCACTCAAATCTGTCTCAGAGTTGGTCTTTACAGGATTATTATCAATATATTATAAACCTGAACGTAACTGTCTGTTTGATATCTCTGCACATTTAAATGGCTGAACAAATTTTGATGTAAGTTTGAGGACCAACAGTAACATTAAGAAATCCTTCAAATCCCTTATATCGCCTTCACTGACTCTACCAGATTTTTTTTTAATATTTCATTCCATCGAATATATAATTATCTAATTTTAAAGCTATATAATTTATGACGTATTCAAAAAAATTACAGAATAACTTGTATGTAATTGCTGATTGTTAATTTTAAATACATACTACTAGTTGTCTCTATTTACTCGGGTAATTAAAAGCGCTGTTATTACATTGCAGTGGCGGCAACTTTATAACCTATAATTACAGCAAAATCTAAATATCGGTTGAGCTCTATGATTTGTAATATATTATTTGAGTGTTGTCAGCTTACATAAAACCGTGTTCTGTTTGTTCTTCATGTTTCACTAATATTTAATCTGTCCAGTATGAAAATGATTCATATGTAATAGATACTGAATATTCTGTAATTAAAAGGTCTAAAACCTTTAAAAAATATATATTTTGGAATAGCTCAAGTTCTCAAATATAGTAAAATCTTAATATTGAGAAAAAAGCGTTAGAGTAAGCTTTAATGTATACAAATAGGTTTGATGTACGCTACATTAATGGAGGGTAAGGGGGAGAGCGACAACAACACCTAGTCAGCCCCAAATGCCAACCTCACCTGCTCGCGGTACCCTCTGCTAGATAACAGACGAGGCCCTGGCGACCGACAAATGGCGGTATATCCATACATCTATCCTGGTGACAAGGTAGATGAGGCTGGCAGCGGCCTTGTGGTCTAAAACTACCAAAAAAAAAATGTCTGGTTGACACTTAGAAGAAGATAGTGTGCACGGACGCTTAGGAGGCAGCCCCTTCACCGTGATCGGAGTACTGTGGGCTAATCGCTCGCATACTCTTAAATTCTAATTTAAGATTAAAGAAACTGCAGCAAATGTTGAAAACGATAGACACCACACGACGACTTTTGGCGCGAAAATAAGGACTCGAATAGCTTCATGGAATGTGAGAAGTATGACCCGCCCAGAAAGACTTCCCCAAATTACCAAAATAATGGAATCATATAAAATCGAAATTCTGGGGCTAAGCGAGACACGATGGAATGGATTCGGTGAAGTATCTGCAGACCACGGTACCACCCTGTTGTACAGTGGAAAAGAGGACGAGGATGCACCGAAAGAGTACGGAGTTGGTATTCTACTTAGTCATAGAGCACGTCAGAGCCTTTTGCACTGGAAACCAGTTTCGGAACGTATAATCATTGCTAGGTTCTATACTAAAGTTCGCAATGTATCGGTAGTGCAATGTTATGCCCCAACCAACTCTTCAGACTATGAACTAAAAGAACGTTTTTATGACCAACTTTCTGGCACTCTTAGAGGGATTAAGAAACGAGACATAGTGGTACTGATGGGGGATCTGAATGCCAAAATAGGATCTGATTGCGTAGATCGTAAACACTACATGGGACCACACGGGGTAGGAACCATAAACGAAAATGGAGAACTCTTTGGAGACTTTTGCGGTATACATAATCTTGTCATAGGAGGTACTCTTTTTCCACATAAAACCTGCCATAAAGTTACCTGGGTCTCTCCAGACGGTCTTACCCAAAATCAAATAGACCATATTGCCATTAGCCGAAACTGGAAATCTTCACTCTTGGACTGTCGTAATAAAAGAGGAGCCGATATCGATAGTGACCATCACCTTGTCATTGCAGAAATAAGACTGAAGATGGCAGCGATCCGCAAGAAGCGAGACGTAATCGAGAGTGAGATGTGACGTTCAGAAATTAAAAGACCCAAAAACGAAAGAACAATTCTTACTATGTTTGTATAACCAGTTTAGTATATTAGGTGACATTTTACACGAAGACGAACATCTTGACGAAATGTGGGCTAAGATAAAGTCCGCATACACTACAGCTGGAAAGCAGATATTGGGCCACGCTAAACTGACACATAAAAAGTGGATGTCCCTCGATCTCTGGAATGCCATTGAAAAGAGACAAGCCACCAAAGTTCTGTTAATAGATGACCCAAAAAACGAACAGTTGCTTTCCGACTATTCCTTTTATCGCAAACTGATTAAAAAACTAGCCCGCCGCGATAAGAGAATCGAGTCAGAGGAAATAGCAGAGCGTGCGAAGAGTGCCTTGCTGACCCATAATAGTCAAGAGTTGTACAATGCCACCAGACAGCTGACTAACTCAATAAAACGTAATGCCAAGAAACCGCTTAAAGATAAAGATGGAAATCTGCTATGTACCTCTGAAGAACAACTTGCAAGATGGCATGAACATTTCCAAAAGCTCTTAACTCGATACCGATCTTTACCGGGGAAAGAACCATCAGATGATGCCAATCCCGTGCTTGACATCCCAACTGAACAGCCAAGTTTGGAGGAAATTAGCACAGCAATAAAGGGACTTAAAAATGGCAAATCTCCGGGGATTGATAACATTAGCGCGGAAATGTTAAGGGCAAATCCGCATATGTCAGCCGAGGCACTCTACCCACTTTTTGAGAGAATATGGTGTTTGGAGCGCATCCCAACTGAATGGAAACAAGGCCTGCTAGTTAAAGTACCAAAGAAAGGCAATTTATCGCTTTGTGACAATTGGCGCGGGATCACTCTCTTGCCTACTGCGTCCAAGATCTTAGCTAAAATATTACTGAACCGTATTTCTCAAAAGCTGGGAGACACTTTCAGAGAGGAGCAGGCTGGCTTTCGCCCTAACCGCTCATGCATCGATCATATAAACACAATAAGAATCCTCATCGAGCAGTGTGTCGAATGGCAAAGCCAATTGTATCTTATCTTCGTAGACTTCGAGAAAGCATTCGACACTGTGGACTGGTCGGCTTTGTGGTCAAGCCTAGAGTGTCGAGGAGTCCCTGCCAAAATAGTAAGCATTATTCGCGACCTATACATCGGTAGCTCTTGTAGGGTTGTTCATGATGGAACACTGAGTCCCGCTATTGGAATAACGTCTGGAGTTAAGCAGGGATGTCTCTTGTCGCCGTTGTTATTCATAATGCTCATCGACGACGTGATGCGTCGTGTAACAAACAACCCGAGAGGAATACCATGGAGTAGTAGGCAACTTGAAGATCTTGACTATGCAGACGACTTGGTACTTATATCAAATCGGCTTGAACATATTAAGTCCAAATTAAAAGACCTGCAACAGGAAGCATCTGTTATTGGTTTGCGAATAAATGCTAAGAAAACGGTAGAGATGAGGATTAACTCTCAGGCTTTGGAACCTCTTTATTTGGATAACCAACTGATTGACAGAGTAGATGAATTATGCTACCTTGGTAGCATAATCACTTCTGGTGGCGGTGCGGGGGCAGGTGTAGAGAGCAGGATTAAAAAAGCCAAAGCTGCTTTTGCAACCCTGAGAGCAGTTTGGCAGTCAAATGTCCTAACGAGACGGATAAAGATCTCTCTGTTTGACTCTCTGGTAAAGTCAGTCCTTTTATACGGGTGTGAAACATGGAAGACAACCAAGTCGCTAATCCACAGGATTCAGGTCTTCCTCAATAAGTGTTTTAGGGTTCTCCGTATCCACTGGCCTAACACTATCAGAAACAAAGATCTGTGGGAAGTATGCCATCAACTCCCAGTATGCAAGGAGATAGGTCTAAGGCGATGGCGCTGGGTCGGGCATATCTTGCGAAGAGAGGAAGGGAATACTGCACAAGTAGCATTCCAATGGCATCCTGCCGGTAGAAGAAGACCTGGTCGACCAACTAACACCTGGAGGAGGTCCATTGAGGCGGACCTAAGAAGGGTAGGAATCTCGTGGAACCATGTCCAAGCAGTAGCTAAGGATAGAAGGGCATGGAAAACTACTGCTGCAGCCCTAAGTTCCACGAGGGAATAATAGGACAACATCATCACATCATCACATTAATGGAAATAACAACCGCTGTGATAAGTTTACGTAGAACATCGTTTCTCCATCCCGGTTAACTCAACAAAATTTTTGGCACTTAAATCTGTCTCAGAGTTGGTCTTTACAGGATTATTATCAATACATTATAAACCTGAAAGTAACTGTCTGTTTGATATCTCTGCACATTTAAATGGCTAAACAAATTTTGATGTAAGTTTGAGGACCAACAGTAACATTAAGAAATCCTTCAAATCCCTTATATCGCCTTCACTGACTCTACCAGATTTTTTTTTTAATATTTCATTCCATCGAATATATAATTATCTAATTTTAAAGCTATATAATTTATGACGTATTCAAAAAAATAACAGAATAACTTGTATGTAATTGCTGATTGTTAATTTTAAATACATACTACTAGTTGTCTCTATTTACTCGGGTAATTAAAAGTGCTGTTATTACATTGCAGTGGCGGCAACTTTATAACCTATAATTACAGCAAAATCTAAATATCGGTTGAGCTCTATGATTTGTAATATATTATTTGAGTGTTGTCAGCTTACATAAGCCCGTGTTCTGTTTGTTCTTCATGTTTCACTAATATTTAATCGATCCAGTATGAAAATGATTCATATGGAATAGATACTGAATATTCTGTAATTAAAAGGTCTAAAACCTTTAAATTAAACTAGCGGACCCGACAGACGTTGTCCTGTCTACACGTCTTTAATTTGAAAATTTCAAACTTTTTTTAATATATTATTTTCTATTAAAAAAATTGTGAATCTAAACCATTCCCAGATCCCCTTGAACACACACAAAAAATTTCATCAAAATCGGTCCAGTCGTTTGAGAGAAGTTCAATGACATACACACTCACAGAAGAATGATATATATAAAGATTATATTTATGAATGAAGTCCTCTATTTAGTATTTTTATTTTAAAGTCAGCATGTTTAGCTAAGAGTCAATGATTTGTTTTTAGTTCAGAGATTTTGTGACCAACTATTTGTCCATCATATACAAGGAATATTTATTTAAGTCGACAGGATTATTTTAGATATCTCAGTTTAGTTCCTTATTTCAACTTGGATATGATGAATAAATCACACATTAGGAAGCAAATATGAGCACAAGCTTTCATTTTCACACGATTTTTACAGCTGTAAATAAAACAAACAGAAAATCTGAATGAAAAGACCCGAAAAGCCACGTTCAAATGAAAATTGGTAGGATTTCAGTGAAAAACGAATTAACGGTAAGTTCATAGGCACACCCATTCGCAACTCTTTCATTTCAAACAGTGATGTGATTACACGCATAACTCGATTTCGATTAATCCTCGAACCATATCGAGACTGCTTCAACTATTGCTGTTAAGTACTTAAAATGGAGTAACTGATAAGCCTTATCACTATGGACCAAGGTTCATTTTTGGGAGTTCAACAGAAAATTGGCTGAATAAGATTTGCACAATATCGGTACATGAGGAATCCAATTATTTGGACACAATCAACAGGGGATCATCATAGGGATGTTATCGATGGAGAAACCGTTATCCAATGGAACGGTTGAGCCTAACGAGTTATTTGAGTAAACATTATTGCTACTAATTTTGCCTAATGAAGGCTAATTTTATATGCATCATATTTTATTTGTGCGGTTCTTTTTGGGTACTTAAATTATTTGAAAGTTGTGTAAATTGTTGAAATTATATTCTTTATCTTCAATCTTTTTTTTTTTGTGTTTGATCTTCAATGAATGTAAATTAAAATTAAAGGTTTTATGTTTATAGAAATAGTATTATGACCTTTTAAAGGAGCATACTCATGTATTGGTAAAATTTTAAATATATTATAATTATTCTAAGTTACATACACTCCAGTATTATATTACGTCATGTACGCGTATTTATACATGATAAAACATATTATGTGATTAAATATTTATCTTCAGTTTTTGAATTATATTACGACTCGTGGTGCATTCTCTTACCAAGAATAAAGTTGTTTATTACATATGCTATGTACGGTCCATGAAAATATTTATATAAATTATAAAAATAGCAACCCAAATTAAATAATTTCAAATTATTAAACAGTGGCAACACAAATTTGTGTCTTTTTAACTTTAGATACCAACTTTATGTTTTTCTAAATTATACGTAATTTAATAGGTAAATACTGTCGGTAACAACTATATAATAACTTTTGAGACGTCTTAAAGCTTAGTCACTTCTGTGACCGTGATAGGTGTAAACATTCAAAAAGTCGGGAACCAAAAATATAAATAAATCCGCGAAAAAACCGAAAAGATAGTTTTACTTAAAATATCAAATTCACGTAAATCTAAAAACACAACCCTGTCCGTTAAGCATGGCCTATCAAATGCCATATTAGGCCAGATTAGCCTAATTGATCTAACCTTTTAAACATCTCTTATGTTATATAAAAGCTATTCATACTTATGGGGATATGAATAATATAACAATATCCACCAGAAGTCTTAGAGAACACCGCTGACATTGAATAAAATCACCGTTCATCTAGTGTAATGGTTGCTGGGAATACCAAACTTTACAAACAAATGTACGTATTGACAACGACATGACTTGTTTTTTCTGTTTTGTGGTAGCGGTGAAAGTAACTCTTCAGTTGAAAGATACTTTAATAGGGATAAAGTATTAAGCTACTAGCGAAGTGGGAAGATTTTTTTTCTCTTGTGCTTATAATAATTATTATTTTATTATTACTATTATTTATGTTTCATATAATATTTTTTAATCTGATGATTTAGTGTTATATCGAGATGACTGTATGATTTAGTTAATTATAGATACATTTTATTTTTATATACATAATATAATACTATTTTAATCATTATTATTTTTGTTGCAATTAATATCCACAATCTTTTTATTCTCTTTCATTTTATTTTTTTGAATTATAAATAATATTAATAATACGTATAATATTTCCGTAATCTTACGTCCATCTTGGTCGATTTTTACTTGCTCCAAAAGAAGGCATTCACAAACCACGTCTGGGTACTTCGTAAGACTAATATTTTCTTCGTAAAGAGGGGATGGTAGGACGATAAATTCTATCCCTATTGATGGTTAGCAGAGCATTAGTTCTCCTTTTGTACTTCGCGGGCTATTCAATTGAAAAAGTGGCTTATGGCGAGCTTTATTGCCATTTATTTTGTATGTTACGATCTAAGAATGGGACCTTTGTGATTTATCATTGAAGCAGTGTCAATGCCCTATACTCTTTTGTAAACTTCACTTTTTATTCAAACTATAGGTATTATATCAAGCTTTCTCACTTTATAGTGCTTTCCTACTTTGGCTACATGCCGTTGAAATTAAAGAGAATTTTTATTGTATAACATTTATTTCATCTATTTATTATATTGTATTCAGCCCTTCTTAACGTCCCACTACTGAGCACGGGCCTCCCTTCAATATGAGGGGGATCAGGCCATAGTCCACCACGCTGGCCATCTGCGGGTTGGCAGACTTCACATGTCAAACTTGCTAGGTTCTCTCAGACATGCAGGTTTCCTCACGATGTTTTCCTTCACCGTAAGGCAAGTGGTAATCATGTTGAAAATGATTTATTATATTAATTTATATAAAACAGTTACAATTTATACAGCAGTTTTCTTTTAAAATTCATAATAAAATTTAATTTAACTTAGTTTTTTTATATTTCGTATGTTAATTGTCTACTATAATATTTTATTTATGTTTAACAAATAAAACGATCATAGTTTATAAGACAAAACAAACAAGTTTTGTGACTCATAAAAACTAAACTGAGTATGTAAAAAAGACAAAACGTCGATTCAAAAGTCAAAAACAAAGGCGTCGATATATCGTATAGATTTAAAGTAGGTTATAATAGAGGGTGTTTATTGTTTGAATAACAATACAATAATTTTGCACGATAGAACTGGTCTGATGATGGAATCAGAAGAAAGATTGTAAAACTCTTTCATTGCCATTACTAGGTATTTTTAATTAATAAATCGTTAAATTTAATTTTAAATATTTATGTTCCACTATGTTTTGGTGGACCATAATTAATAAAGAAAGAACAATAATAAAAAAAATATTTTAAATAAAACTATCTTTTCGGACTTTTTCGAAGATTTATTTTGATTTTTGTTTCAAGACGTTTCGATACTTTACATCAATAATGGCCATATTTAGAGAGACTCCCCCAAACTATCCCGGAGAAAAATCGGAAAAGATAGTTTTATTTAGAATGTCAAATATATGCGTAAATCTAAGAAAGAAGTAAAAGAATCTTTTTTAATGACGTCAATAATCATGACGAAACGTTTGGCTCAGTTTGTAGTAACCCTACTTGTTATGCCAGCGGTCGCGGGTTCGAGACCCGCTGGGGGCATTCAATTGTGTAATGAGCACGAATGTTTATACTTCAGTCATGGGTATTCATATTTATAATATGTTTATATTTAAAGATATATATCTGGTATCCATAACACAAGCCTCGTAGCTTACCATGGAACTAGATGGTGCTGTGTGTTAGTGTCACATTTATTTATTTCATATTTAAATACAATCATTTTCATACTATAATTATGAATAGAACATATTATTATGTGTAGAAGAAATATATATTTATATCTAATCATTAAACACTGGTATTGAGTACACCAGAAAAGCAATAAAGCAGTAATTATCGGATGCAAACAAACAATGTCCACAAAATGTCGCGTGGTAGCGTCGAATCAATCATTTCACTACATTAATAATTTTCATTCGTATAGTACTTATCATCGTAAAATGCTGATTGCCATGAATAAGTAAATATTCCCAAATCTATTTCATATATCTTTTCATTACGGCTTAAAAGTAGGTACTGTATGAGGAGATAACACGCTATTTAACCAACTGCGCGATGCAAGAGAGGGTAATGGGTTTATCAGTCTACGTATGTATGTATGTGTGTTATTATGTGGAGTTCTAGAGACCAAACGCATTGGCCGATTTTGATGATTCGTCTTGATAAGGCGAGGTCATAGGCTATATAAAAATAGATAAAAATAAAAATGACAGAATTAGGATGCCAATTTGTTTATCTTTAAAAGAAAACTTCCAAACCAATCGAGTGACGTATCAAAATAAAAACTTAAAAAAAACCGACATCCAGGCACTAAAATGTAAAAAAATTATTCAACGGGGGTTTTCATTTAGAATAGATACCTAATCAGATATTTTCGAAATCGGTGCCAGCCGATTCAAAGCAAATCTAATAGGTATATTTCGATACGTAAAATACATATTTATATATTACATATTCATGTCTTAAGATATTATCGGCTCAATTTTTTATTTTTTAATATTATCCCTTCAATAATATAGTATTTAACAATAAATATTATGATACGAAAAAATCTATAAAATAATAATATTATAGAATAAAAATAAGAAAGTTTTACAATATATAAAATGAAGTCAGAGTTTTTTTTAAAGTTACTGCAAAAATATATTTACAATAAAGAAAATTACAAATATACTTAATTTTATATACAAAACAAATTTACACTCAGTGAGAGTTAAGAATATTTTTGGATCGACTCTTGTAGAAGAAATTAGAAATTTTATAATTTGTTGAGCATTTGTTAGAGTTAGTCAATTGATGAGTTTTTTTTTTATTTTCCAAAGGCCATAGCAAATTGTGAATTTGCTACTGTTAGTCTATGCATGAAAAACTGCACATTACTTTACAAAATTCAAACTGTACAAGCATCTCCATATTCAATACTAACATTTATGTTTATATTCAATTCGATTGTTCCTTTATAGCTTTTTGAACGTCTTTTGAACACTATTTACTACAATATAACGTACAATAGAGAAAATACAATGGAGATCGATTCAACTAGGAGTAAGCTAGTTAAGAAAATATTAGATGCAGATATATTTTTAAAAACAGGTTTGCATATTTATTTGTATAGATATAAATAAAATGCTGATGAAATAATGAGAACGACTGGAACAATTTGTTTTTTTTTTTAAGTTATACTTCTTTTGGCACGTTTGGAAAACAATATGAGAGTAAAATTTTTACGATGACAGCCAAAAAACGACATGATAGAGTTAGCTACATTCCTTTTACAAACAGAGAGTTATGACATACGGTATGAAATTTTTGTTGTTACGCCAAAGAAGTATAACTTCTTACGTGCGTACATAAGTACACACACACACACGTTTTTTTTTTAAATTTTATATACTTTTAATCCGATTTTTTTTTCTGGATTGGGTAATTCGGGTAAAAAATAAACATATTATAAAAGTTTAAACTTAATTGTTGTTTAAAATCAAAGATGATAAACAGAACTTCTGTTAGGTATATTAGCTAGTTTTTAGATGAAACGATATAAATTAATTTTACGAAATCGTGAAATGAAGCTGTACCAGCCAACCGAATCCTTTACCTGTTTAAGAGATCTTACATAATTAACTCAGAATAGTTTAACCGTTATCCCCAGACCTAATAAGTACGCTCGTCACGATCAAAGCGATGCGTTTTAATTGCAGCTCTTGACTCACCTTTGCACCTAACACCCTCGAGACGAATACTGGCCTGAAATAGGCCTACACGATAGATGTAGAAACACAGGCTAGGCTACACAGGCTATTAAAAGTAGCAACTTTGATGCCTGGATGGGGTAAAGGTTATATTTACAATATTGTATGGTATGTATTTAGCACTTATTTTTTAGTGTCCCACTGATGGGCACGTCTTCCTACACTATAAGGGGGATCTGGCTATAGTCGACCACGCTGGCCATGTGCGGGTTAGCAGACTTTACATATCTTCAAAAACTTGCTAAGTAGTTCTCTCAGACACGCAGGTTTCCTCAAAATATTTTCCTTCATCATATGACAATTGGTAACTATGTTGGAAATGTATCGCAAATTGAATCACAGGTGCGAGACTCATTATATGAACCCGCTTCACTCGGTTTTACAAGCGAGCGCGTTACCACTGGGCTACCACTGCCTATTTACTGTGACACAATTAAGTTTTTTTCCTAGTATCGTCTCCAGGTGATAGACAATACTGAATTTGGTTTCGTCAACAAACAGTGCATTTCTTTTAAATAAAAGGATTAAGTTAGAAGCTCGACAAACAGACATACGATAAGGGTTTCGATTTTTATCAGACTTTGGAGTATGAATAAAAAGAGAACTATTTCTCTTATAATATTATGTTATGTACATACTACAATATTTTATTTTCAACCAAGCATCATAAAATTATTGAACTTCTATAGTTTTTCGGATTATTTCGCAAATTTTGATTTTATAAATTTTAAAGTTTAAAATTAATTGAATAATATTCGCGTAAATATAAGAAAGTATTATTCTATAGTTTTGTAAAGCAACTAGCACGTACATACATACTCGTATATGCAACCTCTAAATAAAATATCTAATAATAGTGGCTATTGTACCTACCTTAGTGTTTCGGCAAAAAAAATATACAAAACCTAAATACATATAAATAATTATTAGCAAATATTAACCAACATATAATTTAATACGTAATTAACTTGTAAATAGGAGATAGCAGGTTCGATTCACATTTTATTTTAAGTCGCTGAATTTTTTTACGAAATACATATGCTGCAAGATCTACTAAGATCTAAAACTAATTCCTAGGTATACTCGGAGTATTATATGATCTGTGCTCCTAGTAAGAATATTCTAAGAATATTATAGTCACGCTTTGCGATCCTATTTTTCAACCGACTTCAAAAAGAAGGAGGTTCTCAATTCGACTGTATTTTTTTTATTACAGTACCTACGTATGTACTTACTAGTTTACGGGAAAACACTTTATATGTTATAAAAGTAGCCTATTTCTATCGCTGTCCAAAAAATATCTACGTAAGTACGTGAAATAATGTTTATTCATCAAATTTTACTTTATATTCATAATATTAGTAAATAATCATTAATTTATGTTTTTTTATTACAACATTTTAAGTCCATATGCAGACTGAGTGGAGATACTTTCAAAAGCACACCATAATGAAGTATTGTGAACAAACGAAAAAATCATATAGCATGCTTCAAATTCGCGACTAAAAGCTGAAAATGAAGTTCGCAATGAATTTCCTAATTTGTATTTTGTATTCAGCCCTTTTTAACGTCCCACTGCTGGGCACGGGCCTCCCTTCAATACGAGGGGGATCAGGCCATAGTCCACCACGCTGGCCAAGTGCGGGTTGGCGAACTTCACATATCTTTAAAACTGGCTAAGTTCTCTAAGACATGCAGGTTTCCTCACGATGTTTTCCTTCACCGTTAAGACAAGTGGTAATCATGTTGGAAATGATTCGCACATGAAAATATCAGAGGTGCGAGACCCGGGATTTGAACTCGCTTCACTCGGTTTCCCAAGCGAGCGCGTTACTACTGGGCTACCACTGCCTATTATATATTATAATTTTTATTTTAAACTTCATAATTTTAATTTGAAGCTGTATTTTTGAAAAATTTTAAAATTTATATGAAAAACGTATGCAAATGAATCGCGGCGAGCGCTTCAAAATGAACGAGCGAGTGTGTGACTGTTTGCAAATTAACAACCTCGCTCGTAGCTTTATTTTATGAAAAACAATTTTCATTTATTACTCACTAACTGAATGTTATATACCTGCAATATCAAAACTAAAACAAAACTATCCAAGCTATTTGAACTGGAAAATTTTATAAAACAAAATATAGTTTTAAATAAATGTTCGATATTATTTTTTGTGGTAGCTAAATATGTACATACATAAATAAATAATAATTCTACAATTAGCCGATTTGTTACTTTATAGCTATAGGTTTTTATACATATAATATATATACCTAGGACTAGGATGCCCTGTGGTACGGTGGACCGACGATTTGGAAAGAGTAACGGATACGGGCTGTCCGATCTTGGGCATGGTCAGCATTCTATGGGGGAAGCTTTCGCCCAGCGGACGACGATAATCTGAAAAAATAATGGAATTAAATAAATATTAAATATTACATACGAACGTGTTGTAGTTATTGCTTTATAGCTATAACTTATTAGAATTCTCTTAAATGCTATAATAGATTTTTAGATGAAACTTTCGTATGTTTAATTTATTTTCATGTTCATTTTATTCGTATGTTTTAGTTGTTTATTTTATTATATATATATATATATATATATATATGTATATAATTAGTTGATAATATCAATATGTGTACATAAATTAATTTGCTGCGATTTCATTACGCATTATTTTTACAAATAAGCCACAGAACCATCACTTCAAAAGTTATATAACTTAACCAAACCGACTTCAAAAGCTACATGATATATGATTTAATGAGTGATTGTCCAAACTTTACTTTACCGTACCATACTTTTGTACCAATTTGAATAGTTCAATCTTGTGATAATTTATTAAAGAATTTAAGGAACTGTTGTTTTACATAATGAATTATCTGACAAAAGTGTACAAAAACAATATGTATCCATACAAGGCTACACAATGTTGACAACCTCAGAAGAACATAACTCCGTAAATATTGACTTAAATAAATAAACTCACTTAGTCATCGACATCTACGAGTAATCTGTGAAATAATATGGAACAGTTTACGTGAAACAACCATTTACCTAATTTCAACTCAATAATTCAAATTCTTTTAATAGAGAGTAAAATAGTTTTCACATGCACATGAACAAACATACAGTCGGACTGACAAACGGACGGACAGATGCCTATTAAGTACGATATCTTAATAAGGAAATTTAATAACTTTTTAAACCAAATAACTAAGTATGTCAAGGTAAGCTCTGAATTTTTAATTTTATAAGTAAAAATACAGTTTTCTCTACTATATTTACGTTATGAACTATTTTTTAATTTACTTTCAAATTATTACTAAGTAGCGACTCACTAACGCTCCGCTCGACTTCGTGCCTAGTTACGTTTTAACTTTAGTATTGATTTCTTAGAGATGAGATATTTTTCCGCAGTAAAAAGTATCCTATATATTGACCCGGATAACCAGCTATCATCATACCACAACAAAATCTGTCCAGTGGTCTTCTCGTGATGCTGTCACAGACAGACAGACAGAATGACAGACAAAATTCTAAAAAATAGATTCGGCCTCTGTATCTATAACAATGACTTTTTCAATAATATTTTCCAAAAAATATTTAATGTACTACAGATTCGACTCAGAATTTTATTATATGTATAGACTAGCGACTTACCCTCGCTTTGCTTCAGGTTTGTCCCTAAACAAATCTATCCCATGGGCACCGTACATTTTTCAGGATATAAAGTACCTTTGTAATATTCCAGACTATCTCTATGCCAAACTTCATCCAGATCCGTCCAGCCGTTCTAGCGTGAAAGTTTAACAAACATCCATCCATCCTCAAAACTTTCTCATTTATAATATTAGTATGGATATATAAACCTGTATAAATATAATTTATAGAAGAAAATATTTACAGATTTATGAGAGCGTTATGGGAAAATAAACCCAACATTACTTAATAGCTCAACCGACACGAGTAAACACAAAATCGAATTTCATAACATCAAACATAACTTCATACGTTGCTATATCCCCTAATCTTTAAGAAATATTAGAAAAAATACAGAAGTTGAGATCAAAGAGGCGTCACCTGCACTCCCATTTATGACTGAGTTTTTGGCAAAATGGCGTTTGAAAACCACCTAAGCTAACTTAAAGTTAATATCATATATATGATCCTTATGTTGAAATCTTAAGGTGTATATTATGTTTTAATGATAGCAAAATTAAGTTGGTAATAATCAAGAGGCTTTTAAAGTTTAAATGCTCAGTAAATTGAATTGTTTCCCGCGCACCGACCGCGTGTTAAAAGCGTTGCGGTCTGCGGGCTGTCGGAAAAAGGTGCGCGGCTGACTTTGTATGGTGACAGTCTAATGGATAGCCTCGTGTTTCGAGTAGAACTAATATAAAATATTTACTTAAATACGAGTATAAGCTTATTCATCTATACTGATATAATAATGAGGTAAAGTTTGTGAGGTTTTAGGGGGTAATCTCTGGATCTACTGAACCGATTTAGATGAAATTTGGTAAGAAGACAGCTTGAGACCCTGGGAAGGATATAGGATACTTTTTATCCTGAAAATCATCCCTTAAGAGGGTGAAAATTGGGACGAAAGTTTGTATGAGGAACTAACCTAGGGACGAACCCGAGCGAAGCAAGGGTGAGTCGCTAGTGGTCAATAAAAATGATAATTGTACAAATATATTTGTATTAAAAAGGATTTATTTGTTGTTTGAAGAAATAAACATTTACTAACATGAGCAATAAAGATATTAAATTTAGATAACGTTCATTACAATCTGATTAGTGAAGCGTAGTGTCCTATATTTTTTTACATAAAAAAGAGATATTTTATATATTTAACCTATTCGCACCTTATAATGTACAGTCCCCAACGGATTTCTTTTAATGATTAAAAACAAGCTAAAACTTCGTGAGTAGCTTCATTTTGGCGAGACGCCCAAATATTCTTTCTACGAGATTTTGATAGTGGTAGATACTTTGTGGCTTCATACGGAACATGTCAAAACAGTGATAGTCTAAAATTTATTACTATCAGGTTGTTTTACGATTTAATCTTGAGATAATCCAACATTAAACGAGACAAAAATATTGTCCTACAGAACAGATGGCTTGGATCAAATCGTCTGCCTCTCCAAACTTGTTAAAGTAACAAAGCCATAAAATTTTATATAACCGGCTGATTTTCATAGTATTTATTATTAAACATATTATGCATACTTGAATGATCAAATCGTCCTACAAATAAAATGATAGGATTTCTCTGTCCTATGCTCGGATTTTGTCGCTCCACATCGAATGAATACAATGTAACCTAAAATCTTTTTTTTTTAAATATTTATACAACAAAAGTTACTACTTGTTTATTTAAGGCAAATTTGCTCGTAAGTACTTAAGTGGTTAAATTTTTATTTCATTTTATAACTAACTCTGGCCGGTAGCTCCGCTCTCATGCCAAAAGAATTAATACTTACGGATAGTGCCTTTTATTTACTTACATAATTTTTATAATCAGACTATTAAATCAATTTATGTATTCAAAACCTTAACATACAAACTTTACATCTTTACAATGCAAGCGTAATTTTTAAAGATTAAAGTGATATCTTTTTTTATTTTAGCCAGTATAAAATTAAGTATATAAAAAATAATATAAATAATATGTCGAAATGTGGCGTACGAAAAAAAATAAAAAGATTTTTATATATTTTTTGATAGGATTCGAACCCAATACTTTTACTCACATACAGAACAATATTTTCGTCGGTACATTTGACTGGGAGCGTGGCGTCTCCTGTAATCCGGCTACTCGGAGGTCGGGCACGGAGGATGATTTGAGGTCGGGAGTCCTGGTGCTGCGTGGCCCATGTTGACTGGACGTCCACACTAAGCCTGGTGTTAATATGGACCCCCCGGAGGAGTCTGGGGGGTGCAGGTTCACTAAGGAGGGGCGAACCGGGCCAGGGGGGTAACCCAGCAGCCAAAAGTCCCCCGCATCGGGCAGTAGTGGGATAGCGGCCGGGAGTGGGCGCGCAGTAACAGCCTGTCCAATACAGTCAGACCCGTTCCTTTTTAATGAATCATTATTAAACTTTAAGCTTGTAGAAATGTTAAAATGTATAATAGAATTATCTTTCTTTTGGATTTGAACCATGTAAAAATCCAAAAGAAAGCTAATATATTTTTTAATAACTATTTTTCTCTAAGTAATCTTTTGTGAAAAAAAGTATTCCCACGCAGAGCGTAGCACAAATTTGTTACATAATTTAAAACTAACAAGATAATAAACTATTTAAGATTGATTTGATTCTTTTTATTTGTTATCCATTTTGTTATTAGATTTTTTTATATCTCCTCTTTAATCAATGCGAATTAATATTGCGAAATATTGCACTTTTACGTACAACGGCTTAATAGATTTTAGTGAAAATCGAAATGGAGATAGCTCATATCTTTCATTAACAAATGCGCTACTTTTTATCAAAGTACCCAGTATTGCCAAAATGTGTGTATATTGAAGACATAATAGTCATTTGCTGCAAAAGGTCAAGAAAAGTTCGAATTTGGCTGGTTTATGTCTCCAAATTAATATCTCCAGATTATGGAAAAACGGTATCGAATCAAGTTTTTCGGAGATACCATCTCTCCAGTAGCTCATAACACTTAATAAATGCTTTTCATATTACAATTCGTATTTTTAATTGCTACATTCAGGCATTTAACTTTCTTATACTTACATTGTACCATACTGTATTTAACCAACATTTTAGTAATGAGAAATTAGTATATTATTATTATGGTAAGATTTCAAGCTTACAATGAGCAACATATATCACATCCTATTTTAATATGAATGCGTACTAGAGACATCTACAGGCGTGGTCTCATAATAATATTATAAGCTATCTACGTACTCGTAGCAGTTAACTTAGAAATCCGCCTTAACCAAATAGGTATTTTAATGTTATAATATCTAAACGTTATTAAATATATACGTAAGTGAAGTAATATTAGTAAATAAATATTAATATATTTTAATTATTTAAAAAATAATAATAATAAATGTTGTAATTTTGAACCCAATATTTACAGTTACATATAGAACAATATTTTCGTCGATACTTTCGACTGGGAGCGTGGCGTCTCCTGTAATCCGGCTACTCGGAGGTCGGGCACGGAGGATAACTTGAGGTCGGGAGTCCTGGTGCTGCGTGGCCCATGTTGACTGGACGTCCACACTAAGCCTGGTGTTAATATGGACCCCCCGGAGGAGTCTGGGGGGTGCAGGTTCACTAAGGAGGGGCGAACCGGGCCAGGGGGGTAACCCAGCAGCCAAAAGTTCCTGCATCAGGCAGTAGTGGGATAGCGGCCGGGAGTGGGCGCGCAGTAACAGCCCGACTAATACAGTCAGACCCGTTCCTTTTTATTGGTAACATATCTTTAATTTTAGAAACTCCTTTTACGCTACCACAGGATAGACTTATTCAACAGACGTATTTCATATAAATTTTCATTCATTACTATAATTCATACTCGTATGTATGTATATAAATTTTAATTCCGTAATATATTAATCGAAGCAGATTTATTAAGTTAATAGTCTCGTGGCAATGGGATTTCTTTTCAGCCCATAAGGATTTAAATTTGGATTGCTAACTCAATTTGGTTCATGTTACTGGTAGTAAGCTAACAACAGAACATAGTGGCTCTATTTTTCACTCCACATAGGAAATGCCCTACGGGTTGGTTCGACTGTAAAAAGTACCTATTTATGAAGCGTTCTATATTGTAGAGGTTGTGTATTAATCTAAGATGTAAACTATCTTCGTTCTAAATTTCACTCAAAATCATCAGTCATTTGATTGTGAACGTTCTCACTCACTCAGAAATTATAGAATCTATAATTAATAAGTTCACTACCTGGGCTAACGAGCATCGCTCGGTGTTTTTCGGGAAAAATATAAAAATAGCATTTTTTTTCTTTAGAAAAGGCACCTACCTTATCTCTATACAAAGTTTGATCCAAATCGTTAAAGCCGTTTCCGAGATACACAAAATAAATTTATATACATACAAGAATTGCTCATTTAATATTATAAGATATTAGTGCAATAAATAATAAAAATATAAGAGGCAGTGCAGATATGAACATTCTGCTTGAAGTGGCATGATATTGCCCACCGCGCTCATTTAAAACATAATTTTAACGTAATCAGCTCTTTGTGCACGTTTTCAAAGGCTTTTAGTTTATTATCCTGGGTTATGAAACTGGCTAAGCTAACAATATCTTATATTACTTGTATTTTTAAAATGTTCTTGCTCTTGATTGTTTTCAAAGAAATATATTAATTATAATTATTATCATTTTCGTTATTTTCTATCCACTTAATAGTAAAAAGTTTGCTGTAGTGTGTATGAACTATGAATTCGAATTTCGAAGCATTTACCTATGTGCCATCCATTTATTTATTTTTTTAACATGGCGGTCTATTTGAGATTGCCATATTTAAAAAATAATAGCGGAAAAGTAGTATCGGAATAAGTTTTTGGGGATACTATCTCTCTAGTGGCTCACTTAATCGATACTATCCACATTACAATTCTGTTTATTTTTTCTATTATCGCTTTATTTATAAAATTGCCTACGTTTAGGCTTTGTTAAGCATACATTGTACCATACTTAGTTAAACCAAATTTTTAGTACCTAAATTGATGAATTGTTGATTGAGATGTTTTAGCTTATTTTTACCACTATCAAGACATATTAAGTGTCGTCTTGTTGTTGAAGATCTATATCTTACAGTGAATTTATCTTATTTTACATGCAATCAAATGTCATTGTCAGTGTAATATATCTTTTTTTTCTGGTCAACTCCATAGTTTTCCCCATTCTACGCGACATTGGCGAAATAAATTAAGTCCAACTGGCACACCTAAAAGCTACTAGTAAAAATAATAATAATACAATATTAATTGCGATTATTTTTGCCTACTTTTATACGTTAAGCACTAATTAGCTAATAACCCACTTTGAAAATTCCTCTAACTCTACTTTTTCCCGTGACTCTTCTTAGGAGAAGCTAGGGCTTATTTAGCTACATATAATAATATAGGCATATAATTATTTACTCCGCTCTTAGCTAATAGTAAGAATAAAAAAGTCGACTAATAATTTAGTCCCATAGTCTATCCAAATATGTATTATAAAATTGAAGAGTTTGCTTTTTTGTTTATTTGAACGCGCTAACCTTTGAAATTATACGTTCGATTTTAAAAAATCTCTTTGCCTTTAATAGCCTATTTATTATACTGGTAGGCTAACTTCATGCTTTTAAAATTATATTATGTATAAAAATTATATGTATGCGGGCGGAACCGCTGGCAAACGCTAGTCTTCAAAATAATAAGAAAGTAATAATATGAGAACTCCTCCGGTATGGAAGATAGAAGATGAATATTAATATTTTTTTTATTATTTAAAGGATATTAATTCTGTTTTTTTACATAAAAAAAAATCAAAAAGAATATACCTTTTTGTAGTACATAAATAAAAATATTCCTTTTTTGCAATTTTTTGAATTTATAATTTTTAAAACAGCGCCATCTAGTAAATGAATAGGCATCTAAGAAATTAAATCACATGATGTAGTTCTTCAGTTTCCCTATAGATGGCACGGGTGACCGAAATCAGTAATCTAAGTCATATTATAGGTGTAATGTTTTATGAATATATTTATATTGAACTATATTAGAGTATATTATATTATAAATGCTAATAATAATGAACTTAAAAATAACAACTATCATCAATTCGACAACTATTTTTATAACGTAGTTTTACTATTCTTCAACAGATGTCTCTGTCAAAGCAATTAATAAGAAGTAATTTATAAAAAAAAACTTTTTTTTTATCTGTCCACAAAATATGTTATATCTTCTGTAATATATAATAATATCTATAAACATTCTAATATATGGATAAGAAGAAGAAGAATCACAGTATGGATAATATTAGATTTAAGTCAATCAAATCCATCAAGCCTTTATGGGAATAATTTATCCTACTAACAATTTTTGTTTAAAAAAAAAACATATTAATATATCTCTACACCATTATTGTATTATTTAAACGAGTAAATACATTGTCTTTTTTTAAATTCGATATATCAAAATATATTTAATTTCTATAAATACTTAAAATAATTTACCTAATAAATAAAAAATAATTGACTGAAAACATAATAATAATAATAATAAATAAATATGTTGGAACATTAACACACAGCGCCATCTAGTTCCATGGTAAGCTACGAGGCTTGTGTTATGGATACCAGATAGTTGATACACTATATATATATAACTTTAAATACATACATATTATAAATAATGTCGCCACTAATGTAATAAAAGAGAAAGTAAATATGTTGATATTTTCTTCTTACAAGCAACGGAATTTGTTACTTCATTTGGGCGCGTTTTGTGAAAAAAATTTTATGGGCTAAAGTGTGAGTTATTTGTCCCGGTACATCAAATCTTCCTTCTTAGGAGGATGTTATATTATAGCGAGGGTGGTCTATTGGCTATATGGCTTTACAACTGAAATCAGGAAATCCTGGATTCGAGTCCCGTAGTGGGTAGAAGGTACGTTAGGTCGCAACGACCTATTCCTTTTGTGTAACGCTGGTAGTTTAAGTTATATTTTTGAAAAAAAATTGAAATACAGATTTCAAGTAAAAAATAATTATACCTACCTATTATAAAGATATGCGAAATTTGCCAGTAAAATATACATGTTCGTTAGTAGTTTTTACACTATAATAGCTTAAGAGATTTAACAATATTATGTGAACTTTGAAATATAGATATTATATTTTGTATTAACAACTAGACTTTTTTGAAGTATCCACCACTAGAGTGGACTCCAATACTTTAAAGTTTAAAGATTATTTTCATGTACTAGTCTTCGCCCAGTGGTAGAAATTATTGAAAATTTGAGGAAAAAATGAAGATGATGAGGAATTTTGAAGGAAGGAATACGAATTGAATTTACTTTTCTATTATCAAAATTTTCAAAAAGTTTTACTCATTATCCTAAAGCTCGCCAATAGCCACTACCTAAGCAAAACAAAAAAAAACTAACACCGAACTGTTTTG